ATGGATAGAGAAAATGCAGTATATATACACAATGGAATATTACTCAGCCATAAAGAAGAATGAAATTATGGCATTTGACAGTAAATGGATGGATCTGGAGGAATGAGAAGTTGTGCTCCATTTATGTACAGTGTTTCAAAATGCATTCTATTGTCATGCCTAGTTAATTTGAAAAAATTTTCAAAAATAAAAATATAAAACTTTAAAAAATGTAAGATTATAGGCAAATTATTTTCCTAATATTTTAGTTTGTTTCACCGTGCTGGGTTTTTATCCCAGGATCTACAGAATGCTAGGCAAGTGCTCTACCACTGTCAACACACATAGTGCTCCCCATGTTTTTCTATCTAGGAAATATAAAAACTCTTAAAAGAAAAATTTCACTCCAAAATTGATTCTTAGGATTTTTTAAAATGAAGTAAAACATTATACATGAATAAGGCTATTTATTGCCATAGTGTTGTAATAGTGATGCATTAGAAATTATCTTAATGTCCATTAGATAACATAAATGCTCTGTGGTATATAAATAATGAGAGACAATACTGCATCTGACATGCATAAATAAAGTAGATTTATATGCATTAAAATGGAAATGCTTAAAAAACAAACATTGAGTTAAAAGAAGTTGAATAATAGTACATACATTATTATACATCTACAAAAAGTATAATTTTGTTTAAATCATAAAATTCTATGAAAAATTAACAAAAATGTAGTTATACATATCTGTACACATACATCCACAGATAATATTAAGGCATGGACCAGAAAGAAACAAACCAGATTTAAGATATTGATTATTTCTAGAGATTGAAGGAAGGTCGAATATTGAATGGAGTAAGACTACTTACAGGTTGATTTTTCTTTCTTTCTTTTATTCTTTCATTCATTCTAATACCAGGGATTGAACCCCAGGCCTGCTCATGTTAAGCAAGTGCTCTACCACTTCATTGCATCTCCATAACCCTTTTTCTTTTGAGATAGGTTATCTATAAGATTCTTTATCTAAAAACCACTTCAGGATTTTTAACAGTATATTTTCAGTGTATATTAGTTGCTTGCCCAGGGTTCTTTTTAAAAAACAAAACAAACAAACAAACAAAACCCCTTTATTTTATTTATTTATTTTTATGTTATGCTAACGATTGAACCCAGCACCTCGCAGCAAATGCTATGTAAACGCTCTACCATTGAGCCACAAGCCCAGCCCCTGTCCTGGGTTCTTAAAAAAGAATAGCATCATACCTCATCAAATGTAGCCTTGAGTTTGCAGTCCTCCTGCTTCAGCCCAGTGAGCATCTGGTATTATAGACATGGGCCACCATTCCTGGTTCATTGTGGTTTTTTTGCAAAATAAAAGTAATTACTTAAATAAGACATAATGTTGTTGTTTTTAAGTCTAGTTGGTTGTTATAATGATGTTTGTTATATTATTCTTTATATTTTTTAAGTCTGTAATATGCTTTCTATATGTTTAACAATATACTCAAAGATACAATAGTTTCACTTCTAGTAACAAACAGTGAGGAAAATCTTGTATATCAACATATAAGTATGTTCACTATGACCAAATGAAAAATGGAAATAAGTAAATGTTACATGATTTATATATAGCTAGAAATCCTAAGAAATTTGACTTAAAAATCCTATTTAATAAAATATTTTTACCTCAAACCAAAAACAAAAATAAATTCTATATTGATTATATGTCTAGATATAATGGGCCAAGCAATAAAGCATGGAACAGTTTTGTGACCCTGTAGTACACAAAGATTTTTTTAAACCACACAAAATGCAGTAAACACAAACTAAAAATTGATAAATTGGGGAGTACTAAAATCAAGAGCCTCTGTTCGTTGAAACATACTATTGAATTAAAGGCAACTTTGAAAGGCAACATGAATTAAAAGGCAACTTTCAGAGTGAGAAAAGGTGTTTACATTATTTATGTCCAGCAAAGGATTAGTATTCAGAATATATTAAGAATAAATTTTAAAAAGGATAGTTGATTCTATAGAAAAATAAGCAAATCACTTTTAGAAGCTTATATCATTGTAGATCTTTTTTCTTTTCTAATATAAGTATTTAACATTTTGTGTTTCCATGTAAGTATTGAGTTAGCTGCACCTAACAATTTTTGAAATGTTGTTTTCATTTTTTATAAGTTCAGAGTATTTTCTAACTCCTTTTTGAGTCATCTTCATAAGATATATTTAAAAGTTTTAATCAAAAAATTATTCCATGATAACATATTAAAATATGGCACAGAAGAATTTATTCAGGACTCTCACCATAGAATACATAGGATTTTACTGTAGTGGAGAGAGATTGATTGGGATTGACTGTGAACATTATGCAAGTGAGAATTTACAGCCAGAGCAGGGTAAGAGTCAGTGGATGGAAAATTACCAAGGAAGCATTAGGGGACTCTGGCTAAATGGCCTTAACTGGAATCTTCATAAAGATAGACCAGGGATTCAGACATCAAATGGGGAATAGTGGAGGATGAGGTATACAGTCAGATATTGATGGTGATCTGATATTGATTATGAGTAGAGACGTTGTTAGTAAAACTGACTTAATGGGGTTGTTTGCTAAAACTTGATTTTATAAGGAAATACACAGTTGGGTCTAAGAAGCTACAGGAACTTGACTATGTTTGCTCAAGCAGTCAATCTTTCTGAGAAGTAAGTTCTTTAATTTCCAATATTAGGGGATTTTGTAGACATCCTTCTGATATTGGTTTTTAATTTAATTATATTGAGATTGTAGAAGATGCTTTGCACTATTTAGATGACTTTGGTTCATTTATAATTGATGTGTGATTTAGTATATTTGTCTTAACTTGGTGAATGTTCCATAGCACTTTAAAAGAAATATTATCTTGCTATTCTTTGAGTGAAGTGTTTTAAAAAGTCAATAAGTTCAAGGTTTTTGATAGTGTTTCTCAAATATTCTGTATCTTTATTGGGTTGAGATAAATTTTATTTGCTTTTCCCTTGAAGGAGCCATCTTACTTCAGTATTGTCCATAGTGTTATCTAAACAAATGAGGAACTTACTCCAAATCATCCTGTGTTGAATGTATATGTGTACTTATGTATGCGTTCCTCCTTTCAATTGGTAATCTCAAATGGCATTTGCAGGTAAATGGATAGACCTGGAGAACATCATGCTAAATGAAATAAATCAGACTTAGAAGTCAGAGGTTGAATGTTTTGCCTCATATGGGAAAGCTAGAGAGAGAGAAAAACAAAAAGGAATAAAAAGGGGATATTATGAAAACAGAGAGAAGATAGACCAATGGTAGAGGAAGAAGATCAAGAGGGAGGGAGGAGTGGAGGGCCTGTAGAAGTCCTTGGAGATGAAATATACCAAATTATGCTATGTCCATATATGGATATACCACAATGAATCCAAATTATCTATATAATTAAAACAAACTAATTAAAATAATAACAATAAAGGGAGATCATCAGAATAGAGCAAGCAGAGTAGGAGCAGGGAGAAAGGGAAGGGAAGGGAAGGTACTAGGGATGAGATTGATCAAATTATATTATGTGCATATGTAAATATGGCATAATGAGTCCCACCATTAAGTATAATTATGTCACAATAAAATTTTTTAAAAACAAAAAAAACCTATGATCATTGGATCTAAATTTTTTAAAAACTCCTTATGTATATGTATTTATGTCTGTGTGAACAAAAATGTGTAAGTTTAACACATCAAACTATAAGATTCTTTTTTTTTTGTAATTTGACTGTTTTATTTTTCTCTAACTTTATTTTTTAATTTATTTTTATTTTTTTATGTATATGACAGCAGAATGCATTACAATTTTTATTACATATATAGAGCACAATTTTTCATATCTCTGGTTGTATACATAGTATATTCACACCCATTTGTATCTTTATACATTTACTTTGTGTAATAATGATCATTATATTCCACCATCATTAATTACCCTATGCCCCCTCCCTTCTTCTCCCACCCCTCTTCCCTGTCTACAGTTCCTCTGTTCTTCCCATGCTTCCTCTACCTATCCCATTATGAATCAGCCTCTTTATATCAAAGAAAACATTTGATATTTGGTTTTGTGGGATTCACTTAGCATTGTCTTCTCTAACTCCATCCACTTACCTGCAAATGCCATTATTTTATTCTCTCTTATTCCTGAATAATAGTTCATTGTGTATATATGCCACATTTTATTTTATCTATTTATCTACTAGAGGGGGCATCTAGGTTGGTTCCACAGTTTAGCTATTGTGAATTTTGCTGCTATAAACATTGATGTGGCTGTATCCCTGTAGTATGTTGTTTTTAAGTCCTTTGGGTATAGACTGAGGAGAGGGACAGCTGGGTCAAATGGTGGTTCCATTCCCAGTTTTCTAAGAAATCTCCATACTGCTTTCCATATTGGCTACACCAATTTGCAGTCCCACCAGCGGTGTATGTGTGAACCTTTTCCCCCACATCCTCACCAACACTTATTATTGTTTATATGCATAATAGCTGTCATTCTGACTGGAGTGAGATGAAATCCTAGAGTGGTTTTGATTTGCATTTCTCTAATTGCTAGTGATGATGAATTTTTTTATGTGTTTTTTGATTGATTGTACATCATCTTCTGAGAAGTGTAACACTTTTTAGTACTAGTTTACCTAGCATATCTTTGTATTAGAAAGTGGTTAAGCAGCTCAGTAAATGTTTTTTAAAAGTTAGTCTCTACTTTAGGTATTTACCTTGTTTATTATGATAAAGTTACCAGAAATCACTTAACTAAAGCATTTTACTTTCTAGATTCTCATTAAAAATCAATTATAATTTTGAGGATGTTAATATGATTAATATATTTTTTGCTTTTATTTTACCATTTTCCTATTTTATGTATTTTCAAATATATTTATTCCTTTTATTTACTACAAATATTTGTTTGCATTCCTTAACATATATATTTATGTAATTATTCATTTCTTTTATTTTCATAGAATGAATCTTCAGGAAGAATTGGATGAACTTAAAGTACATATATCTATTGATAAGGCAACAATACAAGAATTGAATAGATGTATGGCAGAGAAAAGAGAAGGTACAATTTTTTTCTATGAAAATATTTAACAGAGTATTGTTAAATTTCATAGTTCTTCATGTTTTAGTTTGTTTCTTCTGAAAAATCTACCCCTTTCTTTCTTTTTTACCACTTACGGATAACTCATTAACATTTTTCCTCTTATGAGAAAATCAGAGATTAAATACTTAAAAATCCCACTGTGGTATGATTTTTAATTTATGAAAACTTTAGGTAAGAGAGATTTGATAAGGAGAAAAAGTACTAATTTTTACTGTTTATTGTTAAGATTTTCTTAGTTATGTTTATTTACTGTTCTGTAAAAGATGTGGGGTTAATATTTTCTAAATATTTTCACTTGACATTACATTTTTAAAAGATCATTTAGATAGCATCTATTTTATTGTAATCAAAATCTAGATCTAGAACGAAACTTGGAAAACTTAACGAAACATGGAAAACTTAAAATGTGCAATCTCTCTCACCAACAACCTAAAATTATTCTACAATATGAAATATGGTCATTGCTCTGAAAGTAAGATTATTCTTAATCAAGATAAAAACATTTACTGGCTATGGTGGCACAGGCCTGCAATCCCATTGACTGGGGAGGCTAAGGTGGTAGGACTGAATATTCTAGGCCATGTAAGCAAGTTAGCAAGAAGCTCAGCAATTTTGCAAGATCCTGTATCAATATTTTAAAAATACATAAATAAAAATAACTGGGATTATATCTCAGTAACTGGGATTATATCTGAGTAAGTAAATAAATAAATAAATAACAATATTTACCATACAAAGTCAGTAACTCATTAGAAAAAGTAAATAAGATTGATATAAACTGGGGGCTGAAAGATGGCGGCGAATAGAGTGCATCACCCCCGTGTACCACGTCACTGTGCAGGTGAATAAAGAGTTAGAACAGCCAAAAGCTATCTTGTTAGGAATTTCCAGCAAAATTGTGGTGCACTGAAACCTAGAGGAAGGATTTCCAGCACCCGAGGATCAATTACTGGGGCTCAATCTTGAGTGAACCGTTCACCCGGAGATTCAGGCTGATTGATCGGCGGCCCGCCTGCAGCCAGAAACTGGGGCGCGATGAGAAACGGCATGCCAGCAACACAGAGTAATGATGCTGCGGATTCTGGAGGGTCCTGCCAACTGTGTCCTCACTGTGCTCCAGGCTGAGTTCTGGGTTTGATACGGGGGAGAGAAACAGTCCAAGTCTGCCCTCTACATTGGACAACCCACCGAGGAAGCCAGCGGCCACCATCTTGGAGAGCTGACATCACCATCGCCAGTTTCCAACAGAACGCAACAAGTTCAGCTTTAGAACAGGTGTGTGGCATTTAGCCCTCCTCACATACAGCAGGGAAATCGCATAAAATGTCTCCCTGTCTTTCTGGGGGCATGAATATCAGAGTGAGCATGAATAGAGGCATGGGGGAAGGTAAAGGCACCTGACCTCCAACTCCCCCCTCCCACTAGCGGTGAAAACGAAACCTGTCTCGCCAGCTCTCGGAGTAGGGGCTAGCGGAAGGAATCAAAACAATAAGGGGCCAGTTCCCAGTAGCCTCGCTCCACATCCAGGAAACTGCAGGCCCAGAGTGTAGCTTGAACTGCAGAGAGGTATCACACTGGGGAAGCCTGTCTGGCAGGAGCAGTGAGGAGACTAGAGACCAGGAATAAACCTAAGCTAACAGGTTTTGAGAGACACCAGGGGGGAGAGGAGAGAGCAGCCTCACACAGATTGTTTCCTACAGCCAGAGGCAAAATCTTGGCCCGGGAGGCACAGTACCACCTACTGGAAGCAAAGAAAATAGAAGCCTAACAGTGCCTTTCTTAAAAAAATTTTTTAATTCTAATTTTTTTCTTTTTTTAATTGTAATTTTTATTTTACTGCATATTATTTTTCTCATTTCTTTTTCTTTTCTCTTTCTTTCTTCTCTCCCTCTCTCTTTCTTGATTTGCTTTCTTACTTTTTCCCCATCTTTACTCTTAAGCATGACCACCCAGATTATGTATAATTTACTAAATGCAAATAGACAAATACTACGAGTCGGTCTATAGTCTGCCTAAGCTCTTAACTACCCCCAAGTACTCCTGTATATTCTCTTGTTAATAGCCACCTACATTTGAGCAACCCCCCAAAGAAGCTAACATATACTAAACTCCATACCATCAAATCACCCGACCTTAACATAAAATCCTAAGTTCAAACCTCAATTCTCTATATGCCATCAAAATCTTTAGGCCTTTAATGAAACTAATGAATTTACCTTAAATCACAATTAAATCCAACATCTCTAAACATTGTCTCCCAACACAAAGGAGAGACATTGGAACTATAAAAACCAAAACAAATTTAAACGAGAAAACAGAAACACAGCAGTCAAACAGAGTTGGAAAGTAACATGAGCACCATGAAAAAACAAGGGAAAAAAGGATTACAAACAATGCAGGACAACTTAAATTCACAGAACCTAGAGGCATCAGAAAAATGGACAGAGAACTCAAGGCATACCTAACTCAGATGGAACAGAATCTTAGAGAAGACATTAGACAGCAAGTCCAAACAATGAAAGTATACTTTGAGAATGAATTACATAAGCAAATTCAAATGGCAAAGATTGAGCTCTACCAGGATATAGAGATTTAAAAAAAATCAAACAGTAATCCTAGAAATGCAGGAAACCATAAACCAAATTAAAAGCTCAAACGAGAATATTACAAATAGACTAGATCAAATAGAAGTCAGAACATCAGATAATGAAGACAAAGTTTATAAACTTGAAAAAAATATAGTCAACACAGAAAGGATGCTAAGAAATCACAAGCAATCCATAAGAGATATGGGATGTCATAAAAAAAACAAACTTGAGAGTCATTGGGATAGAAGAAGGCATAGAGGTTCAAACCAAAGAAATGAACAATCTATTGAATGAAATAATCTTAGAAAACTTCCCAGATATGAAAGAGGGAATGGATTGCCAAATCCTGGAAACCTACAGGACCCCAAACATACAAAACCGTAATAGACCAACTCCAAGACACATAATTATGAAGATATACAACATACAGAACAAGGAGAGAATATTAAAAGCTACGAAAGAAAGAAGGCAGATTACATTCAGGGGTAAACCAATTAGGTTAACAGCTGATTTTTCATCACAGACGGTTGAAAGTGAGAAGATAGATCCTTGAACAACGTATTTCAAACACTGAAAAATAATGGATTCCAACCAAGAATACTGTATCCAGCAAAATTAAGCTTCAGATTTGACAATGAAGTTAAAATATTTCACGATAAACAAAAGTTAAAAGAATTCACAGCCAGAAAACCAGCACTGCAAGGCATTTTGAGCAAAACACTATAAGAAGAGGAATGGAAAAACAGCACCCAAAACTAACAGTGGGAGGTAACTCAGTAAAGGGGAATAAAAAAATAACCAAAGAGGAAAAACTAGCCATATTAAAATAAATAAATAAATAAGCATGACTGGAAGTGCAAACCATATATCAATAGTAACCCTAAACATTAATGGCTTAAATTCACCAATCAAGAAACATAGGCTAGTAACCTGGATAAAAAAAAAAACAAATCCAACAATATGCTGCCTTCAGGAGACTCATATGATAGGAAAAGACATACACAGGCTGAAGGTGAAAGGTTGGGAAAAATCGTACCACTCACATGGTCCTCGGAAGCAAGCAGGAGTGGCCATACTCATATCGAATAAACTCAACTTCAAACCTAAGTTAATCAAAAGGGATAAAGAAGGACACTATATACTGTTAGAAGGAACCATCCACCAAGACATAACAATTATCAATATGTATGCACCAAAAAATGGTGCTGCAATGTTCAAAAAACAAACTCTCCTCAAGTTCAAGAGTCAAATAGACCACAACACAATAATTATGGGTGACTTCAACACACCGCTCTCTCCATTGGACAGATCCTGCACACAAAAGCTGAATAAAGAAAATATAGAACTCAATAACACAATCAATAACCTAGACTTAACTGACATATATAGAATATATCAACTATCATCAAGTGGATACACGTTCTTCTCAGCAGCACATGGACCTTCTCAAAGATAGACCATATATTATGCGATAGGGCAACTCTTAGTAAATATAAAGGTGTGGAGATAATACCATGCATCTTATCTGGTCATAATGGAATGAATCTGGAAATCAATGATAAAAGAAGGAAGGAAAAATCCTGCATCACCTGGAAAATGAACAATATGTTACTGAATGATCAATGGGTTACAGAAGACATAAAGGAGGAAATCAAAAAATTCTTAGAGATAAAAGAAAATACAGACACAACATTTTGGAATCTATGGGACACAATGAAAGCAGTTTTAAGAGGGAAATTCATTGCCTGGAGTTCATTCCTCAAGAAAAGAAAAAACCAACAAATAAATGAACTCACACTTCATGTCAAAACCCTAGAAAAGGAAGAGCAAAACAACAGCAAATGTAGTAGAAGGCAAGAAATAATTAAAATCAGAGCAGAAATCAACGAAATTGAAACAAAGAAAACTATTGAAAAAATTGATAAAACTGAAAGTTGGTTCTTCGAAAAAATTAATAAGATTGACAGACTCTTAGCCATGCTAATGAAGAGAAGAAGAGAGAGAACTCAAATTTCGAACATACGGGATGAAAAAGGCAATATCACAACGGACACTACAGAAATATAGAAGATAATTAGAAATTATTTTGAAACTCTATATTCCAATACAATAGAAGATAGTGAAGACATTGATAAATTTCTTAAGTCATACGATCTGCCCAGATTGATTCAGGAAGATACACACAATTTAAACAGACCAATAACAAAGGAGGAAATAGAAGAAGCCATCAAAAGACTATCAACCAAGAAAAGCCCTGGACCGGATGGGTATACAGCAGAGTTTTACAAAACCTTCAAAGAAGAATTAATACCAATACTTTTCAAGTTATTTTAAGAAATAGAAAAAGAATGAGCTCTTCCAAATTCATTC